AATATACATACATATATACTTATATACATATATACATACACATAAAAGATATGTGTATAATTTTTTTTTAGTTAGATCCCCACTGCACCCCAGACCCATAAAACCCCCTCAAACCTAACCCGAAACCTTGAAACCCTCAAACCCTCAAACCCTACGCAGGCCTATCCCAAGCTATCGCGCGTGTACTTTGCACTGACCCAGGTGCTCTCAGAAGACCACATGGAACTGTTAAGCAATTTAGACGCTGCATTGTTTCGGTACATTATGCAATCGCTATTGGACGGCCTCATGCTGCCCGATGCGAAGAACGGCGTACAGTGCTGTGTTGCACTAGATAACATCCTCACCTATCACATCAAGTATGTAGCCTCACCTATCACACCAAGTATGTAGCCTCACCTATCACATCAAGTATGTAGCCTCGCCTATCCCATCAAATATGTTGGAGCGGCTCTCCTATGGTACCAAGTGTGTGTGTGAGTGAATGGCGATGAGAACAAATGCATGGCAATGAGTCGAAGTGTGCGTGTGTGTATGTGCATGGTGTGATAACAGCAGGTATGCTTATGTGCAGGATCAATAGTCTATAGATTGTATATGTGCACGTTCAATCACACGAGGCGCGTATCTATATCAGCCATCACATCGAGTGTGTATACATGCATGTTCAACCAAATGAAGTATTTGACATACACATGCGCTATCACATCAAGCGTGTGTATGCACATATACCTTCACGCCACATTAATCTGTTTATGCGTGTGTGTAAGGGGGGGTAGTTGTTACGAATGCGTACGTGTGTGTGTAGAGGGTAGTTACGAATGCGTTCGACCTAAACACCTATCAGAATGAGCAACAGTTGTACTCACGTCCCTCTGTTGCTAGGGTTCATCCGCGAACGCGTTCAGAAATATCTCCTCTACCCGTATATACGTATCAATTACGCTTATCCCACGCTCGCATCTTTCATACACACAATTCCAAACGTATGCACTCTGATCGCAGCCATAGTAGTTTCCGTTTACCAATGCGTTCAACAGCAACATGTATATTGTGTCACGCTTCAATACATACATTCCAAACGTATACATGCACTCTGATCTCAACCATAGTAGTCCCAGAGTTTTTAATAAATCTCTGTGTTGTGTGTGGTCTCACTTCGCTTTGCAGAAAGAAACGGAAAATCGGACAACCCGACACACTGGGGGCGCTGCTGGGGCAGTGCGGCGAAGTCTTACCTAAGATCATGGAGCACATGCTGTCAGCTATAGTCTTTGAAGACTGTCAGGTGGGTGAGAGTGATGGGAAAAGCGGGCTAGGTCAAGGGTATATATAAGTGTAGGTGGCTAGGTCAAGGGTAGGATATATAAGTGTAGATGGCTAGGTCAAAGGTATATAAAATTGTAGATGGCTAGATCAAGGGTATATATAAGTGTAGATGGCGGTATAGGTTACTTGTCTGAATCGTGTACGTGTGTGAGCATATTGGCTATTCATGCGCGAATGGGTGTGTGGGACTTTGGAAGTCTAGGGATGTCACTCAGTTAAGACAGAGTATCTGCAAACAGAGATGATACTTCTATTGCATAGTATTTGTCGTCGCTTACAATCGATATAGATTCTCTGTGTGGGTGTTCTAAGGGTTTAAGGTTTCTAAAACCCTAAACCCTAATACTTTGTGTGGGTGTACCTGGGTGTACATGGGTGCTTACATGTCACTAATACGAATAGACGTCTCTAAGGAGAGCAATCACTTGACTATCATGCGCCGAAGTCCATGAGATGATCTGACGTGTTGTACATCTCAACCGAACATGGCGCACGTTTAGTGCATCAGTGTAAACAATGCGTCTAAAGCAGTGCATCAGTGTAAGCAATACGTTTAAATCAGTGCATCAGTGTAAACAATGCGTTTAAATCAGTGCATCAGTGTAAACAGTGCGTTTAAATCAGTGCATCAGTGTAAACAATACGTTTGAAGCATGTAGAATGCATAAGGCGCTACATTCATGCACAATCATGTATGTGTGAACGTATGTACGTATGTATGTATATGTGCGGTTATTTTAGCGTGTCTATACGTTTTAAGGCTCTGTCTATCGGCGCGTGTATACGAACGCACACGCATCTAGTTCCGTTCCCACGCATGCTCAACTCTTAATAGCCCACCATACACACATTGACCATTGGGTGGATAGCCTATGTATGTGGGTGTTCACGGTCGTCATATGATTTTTAGTCCACTTCCGTTTAGGTGCGCCTGCTGGGCCTACCCACACTCCATTCCTTACTCAGCAAGGCAACTACCCATAAGCGATGGTGTCCGTATTTCGGCATCAGGTTTGGCATCTCTATTTGATACGTTTGCTACTCCAATTGGATTTGGATACGTTTTGTGCCAATCCTAATTCCGCTATCTGCTGTTTTGTACACTCATCTGGTACAGATATACTGGTCAATATCTCGGCCCATGCTATGCCTGGTGTTATTGGACGAGGGGTACTTTGTAGATATGACTCAGAAGTTCATACACGGCCAATCTACGGAGAGGCAAGAGACACTGCAGAAGTGCTTTGCTATTCTCATGCAGGTATGTGCTTTTCCAAGGGAAAATGTACATACACATACACACACACACACACACACACACACACACACACACTTA